TATCGGAGCTTAACGAGAACCACTCATCTGGCTACTATAAAATTAATAATCTGTCAAGCTGATTCATGTGCAGCTGTAATGTGTGAGTCACCAAACCATGAGATTGATAAAGTCAAGCATTATGCTAAACTGGCCTAGTTTACTAGCCCGTTTCAAGCCCGGATAAAGAGGGAAGGTTGCGCATGTGCCTAGCAACCCTACCCCATAAAAAAAACCCAATCGCTAAACGAAATTACAAGCACATAGAAAATATAAAAATAAAGACAAACTTAAACCTTGCTTGGATCAGAGAGATGAAATGATGCTGGTCGATGAGAGCCTTCGGGAAGCCAATCAGCCGATGTGTGTTCTACCTCTCTTGATGAAAGCGAAAGTAAGAATGAGACATGGAATGTCCGAACAATGTTTGAATTTGACTGGCTTGAAAGGCTGCCCCAATTTGCGAAAGAGATAAGAAGGTATAGAATAGAAGTGCTAGGCTAAGAATTTGTAGATAGACGGGCTCTCAACCAGAGAGGAGTCAATAATCTACTCCGATATTGTCACCCAAACGACAACCACCAGCACAGCACACTGAGTTTTCCAGTGGCTATCATGATGTCCACTTGAACAGCATCGAAGACTCTCCATCTCTCATGCAGTGCGAACCAATCTCCATAACAATCAGCATCATGACAGCAAGATTCAAATCAAAATGAAGGAAACTTACAATCATACAATGCTACGCTACACTACACTACAGTACACACCTACAAATAATAAAGCAGATGGAGAGAAGAAGGAGGAATTCTATAGACAACTGCATTCAACACTGGACAGGACCCCAGACGGCAATGGCGACATCAAGATTCTAATGGGTGTGATGACATGAATACAAAACTGGGAGCAGACAACACAGGAAGATAACCAATCATGGGTGGAGAATCACTTTGTGAAATGATGAATGAGAATGGAGAACTGTTGACAGACTTCTGAGCACTCAACCACTTGGTGATTGGAGATAGTGTGTACAAACACAAGGATATTCACGAGGAAGCGACATGCATTCGACTTCACAAGACACAAGACACATTACACTGAAAATCAGATCAACTTCATCTGAATGTGGAGAAAGTGGAGACGCAGTCACTCAGCCTACTGGACACAAGATCAGATGTAGGTGGGGCGTAGATGTAGGTGGTTCACACCACTTAGTATCTAGTGCAAGGAACCTAACTTCGAGATCAATTTGAATGCCTGGAAAGAATGTGGTGATGATAGACCATAGTTGAAGTTGAACACGAAGAAGAGAATGTGAACTGAAGTAGGAAACTACAAGGGACATCTTCATGTCAGTCGGCCATCATGAGAAAATGGGAGACATTGAGCAACATGCCTGGAGGAACATGTGTGGAAGAACACTGGAACTCTGTGAAAGAGAGGTGGAAGAATAAAGAGGACAAGGGATGAGATGGACCCTGACGGACACATGGGGGCTTGTAGATGAGGGAGAGAAAGATGATGAAGCAGAAGATGAACCAGTGCAGTACAGTGGAGTGCATGGATGAACAACGAAAAGAGGAAGTGAACACAACCAACAAACCGCTACATTGGACACAGAAGTGAAGAGGAGTGCCCGCAAAGACAAAAGACACTTCTACGACACACTGGCAAGTGATGCAGAACAATCTGCATATAAGAGAGACAGAGATCTGACAACACTATAACAAATAACCAGGTTACTTTCCTGGGAGGGAAGAGATCAACGCAGATAAAATCAATGAAGTATGGTGAAGGAAACCCAGTTACCAAAGCGTTGAAACAAAGGAAACGATGGGCTGACCAGTTCAAAAGCTCTTGAATCGATCACCACCACCACCTGCAACTCGTCCAGAAATACCAGCAGCAACCTAGCAACAGAATTATCAGTGATCACAAGCACTCCGTTAAAAGTAGAAGTAAAGCCTTGAACTCTGTAAAGTTACTTAGAACAGGGTAAGGAACAAGACCATATGGAATTCATCCAGAGGCGCTGAAAACGGACACAGAGACAACAGCGGACATCCTCGCACCACTGTTTCAGAATGTTCGGAAGTAAGAAACGAAGGAAGGAAGGAAAGTTACCTACCTACAGAAAGAGGGGCTACCTTGTCAAACTCTTAAAGAACGGTGAACTAAGTCTTTGTGAGACCAAGATCTGGCGTGAAATCATGGTTCTGTCACTATCACCTCAAACAAAATATTATGCCACATTGTCCTGGAGAGACTAAAAGGTGCCTTGCATTCAACTGAATTACGACCGGAACAGGCTGGCTGGCTGGCTTAAGGAAGAACAAATCATGTGGGAATCAAATTGCAACTCAAAGTTCAGCTATGTTTCGTCATAGAACAAAGCATAGAATAGCAGTCAACTCAACTGTACGTCCGCTTCATCAATTTTGAAAAGGCCGGGGTTCGACAGCATCGACCGAGTAATTTGACAGGCAACTGCTTCAACACTACGGTGTATGAGCAACAAACCCTTACCAACTTCATTCAACACCTACATGATATATGATGTTACATGCCATGTGATTCACAATGGAAAGCTCAGTGATGCCTTTGAAGCGAAAACAGGGGACAAGGTTGTCTACTATCACCGATGGTCTTCCTGATTGTGGTCGAATGGATTCGACTGGATTATGAAAAAGCCTGTGAGAAGCAGGAATAGAGGCACATGATGTTTGACCGATGAAAAGACCTAAGAAGATGACCTGGATTTACCGATGATGGTTTATGTCAAATGTCTTGAAGCACAAAATCATTGATCTACATGCCATAAACCATCAGGTTGGCTGAAGTGGCAGGGGATCGAAGACGGGACTTAGCTCAGGTGAACGTGAAGAAGACGGAGGTGATACAGACACCCAGCCAATAACAACATCAACAAGCACCAATCACCATCAGTGGGAGAAATCTTGAGGAGGTTGTCCCTTTCACCTACCCACCCACCCACCTACCTACCTACCTACCTCGGCAGCATCGTTTCAACTACAAGCGGTGGTACGTGTGACGGCGTCGAAGCCAGGAACGGCAAGACCGGCCTTCCTGCGTTGGTCTGAAATCAGTGTGGAGATCTACTCCACTACACTCCACTGCACTCACCATAAAGCGTGAACAACATCCGGATTTTCAACACTTATATCAGTCAAGTCAGTCAGTCAGTCAGTGCTTCTATGTGATGGTTGAGAGACTTGACGCCTTACGATAAGCATTCTCAACAAACTGCAGACATTCACCACATCAACAGCTATCGCCTACACTCACTCGATAATGACACTGAAGATCAGATCAGATGGCCAGAATAATAAGAATAAGAAGAAACTCTGCCTGCCTGCTGGCTGGCTGGCAACGAACCGACGAACCAACCAAGAACCCATAGTCCAACCAATATGCAGAAGAAGAAAGTGGATATAGATTGGATTGGACACACACCGAGAAGACGATTTGGGAACGTCATTTGTTATGCCAGGCCAGGTCATTGAGTGGTATATAAGTGGGAAACCACGAATTAGTCATCCGAGGCTATGGTGACATGTTGGAGATGGTGTGAGGAAGAAATGAAAGGTTGTGTATAGTGGTGGAGCCAGGTGAGGAGACTGTAGGGAATAGAGTGAAGTGGTGACGTGCTACTGAAGCTCTATTTGTCACTAGGATTCCAAAGGACAAATAATAATAATATTCCAATATATTCACAGGGTCATAATCTCTTTAAGCAATTGGGATCGTTCATACATGACGTCATCTTTAGTGTTGCAAAAAATTCATACAGCAAATGGACTATTATTTCACATAAATGTTCAGATAAGCAATGGTCATTTAGCCACCTGGTCACCAGTTTGTTTTTATTGAAATGACATCTGACGCCCGAAATTCCTGGTTATAATAGGTTCTGAATTATTTGGTGATGCACTTGTATTAAAATGTATCTCATTTGAGTCTTTGTGTGCAAACTGTTAACTGCATTTTATAATCATCTATAACACACTATACACTCACTTTTGGTTGATGAATGAATATGGGTTACGATCTTCCGATCACTTCATCATCATACCTAAAGGCCTGCAGTATTTTGAATATGACTCAATGGTACACTTCATCTATTAAGTTCTGCGGTTGAAATACTAAGCCAAGCAGATACTGATGTGTGATGAAACATTAGTTCACAAAGGGTTCTAGATACGTTTTAGTGATACTTCACTCAGACAGAGTTTTCTATCTATTACCTAAGGAAAAAAGAAATGGTATGAAACACGAAATCTCCGGCTGAGGATCTTAATTATACAGAGAAGTATAGGTTTTATACGAACTTCCCATATTCTGTTACAGTTGACTTTATATGACTTTATATAAATAAGCTTGCCATAGCTCACACTGATCCATGGGTTACAAAATGGCTGCATTCTTATTTTTCTGAAAGGAAACAGTACACTATTCATAAAGGAATGCGCTTCACTTCATTGCTTACTGAAGCTGGTGTGCCTCAAGGTGCTGTACTTTCTCCTTTTCTGTTTTCCTTTTTTTGCACGATTTCCCTTATTCTGTTGAAACTAATTTTATCAAGTATGCTGACAACCTGACAATTTCTATTCCAGTAAACTCTTTTTTGGATTGCTCGAAATTAAATGAATTCTTGTCTGAAGTTGATAAATGGTCTCTCTCAAATGGTCACAAACTAAACCCCTCTAAATATCAGACCGTTAATTTTAGCCTCAGGCGTAAACAAGACTTATGTGAGCTGCTTAAATCTCATGACGCCTGCTACATAAATGGTATTTCTGCAGAAAGTAAATCGAGTGTGAACTATCTTGGGTTGCGTTTTACTTCTGACCTTTGTTGGTCATCCCATATTTTATTGACTTGTAAAAAAATCTTTCGTTTAACTTATTACGTAAAGAAATTGAGGCTTTCTGGTATGACTCAACTGCTTCTTTTACAATTTATTAATTCCTGCGTTTTACCTATTTTCTATATTGTTCCCCATTAATCTTTCCTGGTCTTCTTAAAAAGGACTATGTTGCGTAGGGCTTTGAAGACAGTCAGCAGGGTGAGTGGTGTGTCTCTGGCTCAACTGATTAACACTGTAGTTGATCGACATATAAATTCCTGCAAGCTACTAACTACAAAAATTTTAACTGACAGTGAGCATCCACTTTATTTACAGCTCTCTCCATGTATCTCCTCAAGGAGGACAAGAGGAAACTACATAAGACTGTATGCTCGTACAGCTAAGTATAAGAATTCAACTGTACCTTACCTTGCACGTATATTTTGTGAGGAGAAAAGTGTTAGAACAGAAATCACACATCAACTTTGTGACAGTTAAAAATCTCATTTCAATAATTTAACTTACAATGTAGAATTTTCTCGTTTTTAGTATTCTTCACATAACTTAAATTTTTATAATGAAACAATTCGAAAGGCTGCAAAATAGTATGTTTATACTTATATTTTGTTGTTATTGCAATATATATTACGCTGAGAATTCCAAATTGTACCACAAATTGTTTGGAATAAAGTGAATTATTATTATTATTATTATTATTATTATTATTATTCAACCAACTGCTACCACAATGTGGCAATCCTAAGTTTGTTATAAGTTATGTTTGTCTTTTCAAAGGATTACGGTTCCGCTTGATTTAAAAACCACCTTCGTCGCATACCTATTTTTGGGTAAATAATACAAATACAAACTGATACCTTCAATGTCGATCACTGCTGACTGTACCATGGGTAATACTTTTTAACCTTACTGACTACTGGTTAACTAGTTTTTACCATTATTTTTAAAAAAACTTACTTCATGCTGTATCGAAACGTGCCATGATGCGTACCTATTATCTCCCTATCGAATAATTAACGTTTGATTATTAGACGTTTTCTATCAACTTGGGAGTTGATATTCTACATTATGGACTAGTCTCTTAACTAGTCCTTGGTGTTGTTGAAAACATTCCGACAAAAATTTTCTCTATCACTTGTAGACGAGTTGTAAATATAGTAGTCAGCAAATTTTTTGAAAGGAAATTTCCACTATGCAGAAATGAGTAGAATTTTCAATTTCTTCTTCAGTCTACTGAATGCAGTATGATACAATAACAGAAACAATAGCAGCTAAAAAAATATAAAGACTGAAAAAGGTTTTTTGTATTTCCTAATCAACGATAAGCAAATTTTGTATTTTTTTCTTTAGTTTGTTAATTTGCTCACATTGAATTTGGTTAATCAATAAAATTGAGTGTAGAAAGTACAACTTACATATCTGTCTGACTGCTTAACTGAGCGGTGGCGACTAAAGTTCGTATTGTAGAGCTGAGGAGTGTATCTTTTCTTAATGGATGGATAGTTGAAGGCGAATGATAGTAAGCCATACGTCATCAGCATCTTGTGTTTGTTGACTTTCTTCAGGAAAACTATATGTCCGTAGTGTTGAGAGGATCAAGGTTATCTGGCCACCAGTTGTACCTAGCAGCTCAGTTGGTGGAGCAGGGGGCTAGAAACTCGGTAGTTGCTGGTTCGAAACCAGCCATGGTCCAGGTTTTCATTCTACCTTTAATCATCACCCAGTATCAGAACTGATAGCGTCTCATACACTAGCTATACAATACTAAAGGCTATGGCTCCAGATATTCCTACGAAATACATGTTAACTAGAGTTGAGAAATAACTAAACATCAACTTTTCTACACAGTAGGTAGAAATTACTTTACTGATATCAAAGTAGGGATGTATTTTGACTTAGTTTTATAAACAGTATATAGTTGCCAGCTTCCTTGATACTAAACGTTCTCCAGTGAATATGTATTACATCAGATTATTTCCTTTCAATTTGTTTTAATCATTTAAAAATTTCCTCTAAAAGTATCATGTACTCTCGCATGTTTTTTAAATGTTTTCTCTCAGTCGTTTTTCAAGTTAATAACAAAATGAAGAAAAAACGTCACAGTAGATGGTAATGAACGTTTAAGTGCACAAAAATACGTCAAATTACTGTTCCTAGGATATTTACGTAGCTTGAACTGCAGATTCTTTTACTGACTGAATGAACCACTACCAACAGATGCTCATTTTCTTATTCATTGCTACATTGTAGACCAGGCGCCAATCTAACACCTGCTGACTGTTTCATATCAGTTTTTTCTAATACTTTTAGTATTAACATTATTCAGATGTAATAATTATCTCTTAAAAATAATGTACCAGAAGTGAGTTTGTTGAAATATTACCTGCTAAAAATGCTATACTGTATGAAACAGAGTGCTTGGAATTAAGCGATTATTGTTACTTCAAGTTGTTATTCGTCGTAGACTGACATCAGTTGGAGGAACAAAGGAGACCTGGGAACACTGGACAGCCGTTTCGTCCTAGTATGGGACTCCTAGATGAATAACAACTTGAAATATTTCCAAATCTACACAACACCCTCAAAATTTAATTGAACTGGTGCTCATTGGTGACTGGCTTCGAGAAATATTCCCGAAGTTCCAATGACAAGTCGTGACCGGTGGAGTCAAAGCCTGATGGCCGTGAGGACAGATACTCAACGATGACATTGGGTGGCGGTTTGCTCTATATCGTGAGCTAACAGAAGTTGGAAATATGGAGCATTGGATTCTGACCCAGTGGCTTAGTAGTAACGTGCTGGCCGCGGAACCTGAAGGTCGCGGGTTCGATCCCTGCTGGTGGGGTCGTGAGTGCGCACTGCTGAGGAGTCCCATACTAATCTGACGAAACAGCTGTCCAGTGCTCCCAGGTTTCCTTTGTTCCTTCAACTGATGTTAGTCTTCGATGAATAACAACTTGAAATATTTTCAAATCTCCACAACTCCCTCAAAATTTGATTATTGTTACAATTATCAGGGGGTCTGAATGCGTTTTTCTCAAAACTTCTGTATACTTTTGTTTTAACCTTTTGAATAAGGTTGAAAAATTTAATTCTGCAAATAATATTTATTTCCCTTTCGCAAAAGTTTGATGAAAACTGATGACTTCTGCTGTCAGCCTGGAAATAAGATCTTTCATGTATTTAGTTAAGAATTTCACAACACTTATCGAAGATATTTCTATGAAGGTGGGATCTCATAAAGTTCAGTAGACTTGATTAGCTGACTTGGTAAAAAGAATATCTTCAGAGAGTATTACTAAGACTTGAATCCATTCAATTCTGTCTTTATCTTGTGTCATATCAGTGAATTGAGACACTTTGAAATTTCAGAGAAGAGGCACATTTTCATACGCTTTGTATACTTCATCTCATTTACAAAACATACAATATGAGCTCATTTCACCCTGATGATGTTTCACAACTGTTTACTACTTAGACAATATCAAAACCAATACAATACACTGAAAAACATAGCATCATAGAATGAAGAGTAAAGTGAACAGTGCTCAGAAAATAAAAATAAGAGTTTCATTTGGAATGAAAGAGAATAGAAGCAAACCTGGTGGCCATGAGGACAAATACTCAACGATGACATTGGATGGCGGTCACGCTATATTGTGAACTAACAGAAGTTGGTAATATGGACCATGGATTCCGATTCAGTGGGTCAACGGTAACGTAGTGACACTGAATCTGAAGGTCCTTGGTTCGACCCCCAGAGGGGTGGTGGGTGCGCAATGCTGAAGAGTCCCATACTAGGACGAAACAGCTGTCCAGTGCTTCCACGTTTCCAATGTTCCTCCAACTGAGTCAGATCATAATGAATACCGACTTGAAAAATATAATTGTTTTTAGTGATTCAGAATTTCTTAAATTGTACCGCGTATCCAGTAGATGTGTGTGTATGAAGAACATAATGTTACGAATATTCTGAAAAATGCAGAAATATATCCTTCTGTCTTTCCTTCCACTTACGCTCATATACGCTCATATTAAGTAGTGGAAGCAGTTGGTAGTTGAATAAGATGAAAGTGTGGTCGCTTGGGTTTTCCACAATGGATTAGCAGATAAATTCCCAGTACGATGTGTTCTCACCTGTATATCATTGAGTCTGGATTTCATTCATTTAATAGTTCTGACTTCCTAAGGTGGCTGTCTTCATAAAACGCCTATCAACTATGCCTAAAACTCCTTCAAGTTTTCTCCCTGTGCATAGTTTTCCCGTGTAGTTGAATGGTGTTCTAACCATATCCTGTATCTTGTTCGCTGAACAGAGGCTACTAATATTTACACAAACTTCATCCTGTATCTCATTCCGGTCCAGTTGTCTCTTAATAACTGCAGTATGTATCAATTTGCATTCAAAGCTTCAGAAAACAAAACTTATTTAGCTTGATGTTCGGAAAAAGCATCAACCGATTATTCTATGTTTAAAGCATCAATTTAGTATGGACTATCCGGCACCTATAACCATGAGCTCACTTCTAGGTGTTCGAATTTACAAAGTGAGCGTCTCGAAATATTTGGAAGTGTTTCAGCACTACTTAGCAGACATGTACTGATAAGATGGATTGAAGTTGTAGGCTGATTATATTTACATTAGTTCTGTGTGATCGTAATACAACTGAAAAGAAGGTTTCATTTCAACATGACTTCGTATTCCCCTAAACTGTAATGATTACAGCCACCTGAAAACTTTACACATAATTTCATAATTATAATTATTAATTTGGTGGGAAATTCATGCGTTTTGTATGACTGATTTAGAAAAAAATAACTGCAATCAATTGAATGTACAATTTTTTATTACATCATGTATAAAATAACGCTGTTGGATTTAAAGTGATGGGTACTGGTCTTCATAAGCCACAGGAATTCAGATACCTCAGGCTGACGAGTCCTAAATAGGACGAAATTGCGTGCCTAGACTTATTCGCTAGCCATCAACATGTAAATTATAGTAGAATCTTCTGGTTCGTTCCATTCTACCCAAAGAACGTCATTAGTTAATTATTCTATAGCGCCCTCTCTATTAATATAACCGTTACTACTACTAATAAGTAGTTGACTTACCAAAATTTTCATTAGCTTCTATGAGGGGCTTTCTACAAATGAAAAATATATGCTGTTGCAAAGTATATGCTGCACAGTTATCTTATTGGAAAAACATCATAATTTATAAGGTTTTAGATAGTTATTTCTTTATACTTTGGTAAACTTTTTTTATGAACTCTTGATTCTAAAAATGACTAACTTGGGGAGATTCAGTTCTTGAAGAGAGTCCGGTAGTTTTGATGTGATCAATCAGTAGTCAGTATATTTCATATCAAGTTGATTTCGGGTCCATGATGTGCATCACACAGAAGTAACAATAGGAGTCTGTCTTCAGTCATATCCTCTTTGATCCCACATGGTTGCCAGTATAAGTTGAAATTAGATGGGTAACTGTTGTTACCTCTATTAAATCATCTATACCGTGTGACCTAACTTTGCACACTCCTAAGAAGTTTCAAATCTGACAGAAGAATATAGT